TATATAAATTAATATATTAAAAATATTTAATATTTATAGTTATTTTAACTCTTAAAGTAGCTTATAATAAGCTTTTAATTAGGAATAAAGCTTATTGGTCTTATATTAAAAATAAGAAATTCTATATTCTATTTCTAAAAGGCTTTAAGTATAATAAATTAAAACTATTTAAGGAGTTAAATATATACCTAAAAACTAAAAATTTAACTATAAAAGAAAAAAAGTAGAAAGTTTTAGTACAAACTATAAATAAAATAAATATAGAATTAGAAAATTTTTTAAAAAAGAATCTAAATTAGATATCTCTAAAGTAAGTAACTCTAAAAACTATAAATACTATTTTTACTTCTTCTACCTCTACTAATAAAGAGGTTCTTTAAATATTATAGAAAATAAAGGAGCTTATAAAGAAGAATTATAAAAAGATTATAAATATTATTTTAGAGCTTAAAATAAGTAACTTAGATATTTATTAGTATCTATATTTATATTAATATATAATAGAAAATTAAAAATATACTTTAATAGAAGCTTCTAAATTCTATAAATTATTCTACTATTAATAATTAAGCTTTAACTATATTTTATACTTTAATTATTTTAACTCTAATTTTAACTTTATACTTAACTCTAATAATTTTAAATTTATATAATTAATATAATTTTAAAATATTTAATATAATTAAAAATAAGAGATTTCTTAATTAAATCTTTAGTAATTAGACCTCTATTTTAGATATAGAATTATCTTATAATAAGTAAGGAAAAGTAAAATAATATCTTCTCTAATAATATTTTATATAATACTAATCTAAAGCTTTTAGAAGAGGACTTATTTTAATAGTAATAATTTTAGCCTAAATAAAAAAACTACTACTTAAGTAATTACTACTTAAGCTATAGCTTAAGTTACTACTTAAGCTACTACTTAAGCTACTACTAAAACTACTACTAAATTTACTATTAAAGCTACTACTAAATTTTATACTCTAGAATATTTATAATTTTTATTAATAGAATTTTTATATAGAGATATTATAGTATCCAAATATATTTAGATAAAATATACTTATTAAATTAACTAATTAAATAAAATAAATAAATTTTTTAATTTTAAAATTATAGAAGACTTAAAATTAGAAAAATTAAATACTATAAAAGAGACTTAGATAATAAATAATAAAGATAATTTTCTAGATCTATATTAGGTTCTAATTTATAATTAATATACTAAAATAATATAATAATAAATTCTAATTTATAGTTAATATTAGAGTAGTATAATATTAGTACTAGAGTAGTATAATAGTAGATTCTAATTTATAGTTAGTATTAGAGTAATAAATAAATAATAAATATAGTAGATAAATTTTTAAAATAAAGTATATTCTAATAATTAAAATATTTTTTTTAATTAATATATATATAGTAGAGTAATATACTAAGCTAGCGAATATTCTTAATATATTTATAGTATAGGCACTATTATATAGTAAGTTAGAGCTCCACTTATATTAGAATAATAGATTTGGCGTTCCGAAAAAACTCAATTTTCCCCTATAGTAGTTAACTAACGAACTCAATAAACGCCAGGGAGGGTTTTAGTTATGTCTTCCCAAAGGCGCCAGCGGATTTTCTTTTTCTTTTTTCTTCTTTTTCTTTTTTTTCTTTTACCGACAATCCAATCGTTCACACCACAGGCGGATATACAGGTTATCCCTCATGTGGTGGTTATACCGGCTTAATACCTTTGTGGGTGCCGGTCCGATGTACTACGTAGTTACAGAGCATTTCGCGAGCTCTTTGAGACATTCTAATAACAGGTAACTTAACAAATGATATAATAATTATAATGTTAATACATCATAGCTAACTTGTTGGTTAGTTGTTGGATTACTCCGCAAGGCCTGGTTGAGGACGGAGTACAGTCTTAAGCATGAATTCCAGCAATCAAATCAGAGAAATGGTCTTCTACACGAACCAGACACAGATACTTCCCATGGTTCACAGCCTAGCTGCATCCTATCAATATCTTCCGTATTTTGTTACGGCATGCATTAGCCCCCGTTGTCCAAATGTGAAGTATAATCTAGAGCAACATCTGACCAATAGTCTGTGACGCCGCAGGGGATCCTTGTGTTATGGCGAGTGGTTTCGGGTAAGTAATCAAGAAGGATGCCAGAGAAATATTTGCTGTCATCGAAATTTGCTGCGTTAACACAGCAATTCCCTATCTTGCCATCACTCGGCTGTCTTTTTTCTTCGATTTCTATAAAATGCAGAGATGGGGAAAAGCATTGAATCGATGCACTCTGCCTTCCAACTACTTAAGCTGACGGCTGTCAAAACACTGCTGGCCGCCGCACTTATCTGGTTGGTGATATTCCAGTACTGTCGATATCAGTTCTGGCGGGACCCTCACTCCGCCTTTTTCAACGACCGAGCTGGTGTATATGATTTGGGGTATAGTCTGAGTCGAGAGCGAGAGGCACACCACTTCATTACTAGGAATAATGCGCGTGCAGAGCCGCCTGCTTCCATCAAAGGCGGCACGGATCCTCTGTTCTGTGTTGCGTTTGTGACTGTCCGGAGAGAGGCAGATGACTATTTCGACCCGTCTATTGGATCTCTTCTCGTAGGACTTGATCCACGAGAAAGACGAGCCCTTCACCTTCACATCCTCTTCGCCGATACGGACCCGAAGAGACATCCGAGTTGGGGCCAAATATGGGTTGACCGGCTCGCGGATGTCGCAGAGACCTACAATGTCACTGCGAGTCAGTTGGAACATCTCAAGAAACTGGAAAAGGAAAGGAATTTTTATGAAAAAGGAGTGTTGTGAGTTTTGTTTTGTTCTGTTTTGTACGGGAAGGTGCTGACCAGCTAGCGATTATGTATACGCCTTGAATTCCTGCAAGAAATCCAACGCCCCGTACACCGTGGTATTTGAGGACGACATCATCATCGCGGAGGGCTGGATGGCAAAGTCGCTAAGAGCATTAGCCGACATCAAGCGAATGCCGTCGAACAAACGACCTTGGATATACCTTCGCCTCTTCTACACAGAAACAGCTCTGGGGTGGGAGTCGTCTGACTTTGCCTATAGGAACATGCCTCTTGTCTTTGCAACTGTCATGCTATTCACTTTCTCCTGTCTGACCGTCGTCCGCCGACTACGCTCCTATCGTTCCCTGATCGACTTCCCTACCACTCTGGCAATAAGCGTGATCTGTGTCCCGGCCTTTATTGCCCTTGTGTATATGATCGGAAAATACTCGTTATTCCCTCTCCACGGAGTTGCGGAGATAGCTCCATACGGATGTTGTACGCAGGGAATGGTGTTCCCCCGGGACCAGGTCGATGGCCTTGTAGCCTATCTTCAAAAGAGAGGCCATGGACAGACGGATACCATGATAGAAGAGTATGCGGAAGAAAGCAAACTAACGAGATATGCTCTTATTCCGCAACAGCTGCAGCATGTCGGGCTCAAATCTAGTCGTGATAACACCGAACTGAATGCGCAGAGTACTTGGGCTTTTTACTTTGAGCAGAATGTACCGAAACTACTGAGGAAGGAGCATGATGAGATTTTACAGGATAGGGAGATTGGAGCACTTTTGGATAAGCACGGCGCAGGTAAATAGCTGAGAAGATACCCTCTACGTATACACATCCCTACAATATATATAATATTTTAATCTCTGTAATGATATAAACTGCGACTTGGATCGAAACGTATAAAAGAGTATACAGTACTATCCTGGAGTATCGGCCTGTTGTAGAATTATCCGGGAGGAGCTGTAGTGTGTAATGTTATTGATAGACGTCATTGACCCTGGTCAAATTTTCGTGACTCGGATGGTTTGCGGTAAGCTAGGGGTATCTCGTCGCAAAGGAAAAAAGTCAACGACGTCAGCGTTTGAGCTTGTTTTGCACGAATATTTCCAGCGCCATACAAACACAAACTTAATACTGGATATCTCTTGTTGACGTCGGTCACTGCTTCCCTTGGGAACTCAATAGCGTCATTGACTCGCTGTAGGAAAGAGCGACTTTGCCAGCTTGGAGATGGGGTATAAATATTTCACTTCCTGGCCTTCTTCCTCTTCTTCCTCTTCTTCCTCTTCTTCCTCTTCTCTCTCATCAAAACTTCACTTCTTCATATCATGGTATCATACTAGACGAATAGTATCATACTATCGAGCTGTCCTCAACACAGCATTACCTCATCCTCACAGTGGTGTGTAGCGCTCTCATTCCACTTTCACCTCACGAACAGCCTGCTGACTCGTGAAAAATCAAACAACATATATACACCCTGCGACATCCTCGCATCACTGTGCTGTATACCCAACGCCAGATACACTCCGTCTGGCCTTTTGATATCAAACGTTGTTGTCGTCGTTTGGTGAGTCTGTCCCAAAGAAGCCTAGCGCCTGCTCCATGGGGCTCTGCAGCATCACATGACATCCCTTATCCGTCTTACCTAAGCACTTCCCTCTTGGCATTCCTTAAGTCCATGTAACTTCCGAGCTTCCCTCAGCGCAAGTCGAGGCGAGAGACGACAGAGCAACGGGCTGTATCTATGTATACAAGCAGACATCCGGCCTGTCTTGCTGCTGATCACCACCCTCTGCCTGCGCCTTTCTCTTTGCTTTGCCGGAAGCTGCGGGCTTCCCCGGCAAAGGGCCCCGTTCTCATCCCATTCACAAGCTCCTCTCTTGGCCAGCCTTCTTTTCTTTTTCTACTCCCTTCATTGTCTTTTCTTTTCTGGCCGATTGTTATACTCACCCTCTACTACACTCCTGCTACGATCCCCTTGCATATACCTCTCTGTACCAGACGCCTCTCCCAGCGAGAGTGCATCTGCTGCTGCATTTCTACAGTTTGAGGGATTCTGATGCCCTCAATTGCTGCCTCTACTTCCCCATGATTGACTCACGGGCGGTACCACTTCGATCATGGCTGACTCCATCTCCCACCACAGGATCGTGCCCATCATGTCTCCGGCAAGATTAACTTCACAGCCGGGAGGCAAGGGGTCCGAGAAGCAGACTGGGGGAGCAAAGATGCTGCAGGAGGACGACCTGCACATCGAGTGCCTGAAGGAGCGGCGGCTCTACGCCGTACCAACCCCGGGAGACGGTGAGTGTCACTGCATCGCCTTGAGAGGTAGTTGGGATGATATAGCTAACCGCTGTCATATAATAAAAAGGCAATTGCCTTTTCTACTCCCTTTCCGACCAGCTCTACGGTCACCAGGGCCGGCAAGGAGAAATCCGGGAACGGCTGGTCGAGCACATCCGCACAAACGCGGCATACTTTGTGCAGTTTGTGCCGGATGTAGGAGGGGAGAGGAGAGCTCCCAGGCGAGCAGCGGCTGCCCGGTCCAAATCACAGTCATACAGTGACCGGGCAGCAACCTCGGAGGGCCAGTGGGCCAAATTCGAGAAGCTGCTCACGCAGATGAAGGAGACCGGGTTCTGGGGCGGGTCGGTGGAGATCCAAGCCTTCTGCCAGGCTTACCAGAGGGATGTCTACGTCTATACAAACCAGGGCATCACTCCCTTCACCAGCCATGGTAGCCTGGAAGGCAGGGAGAACCAGCCGGTGCACATTGCCTATCACGTAAGTAACCCCCCTAATATAATAACAATTATATATAGTTATATATATACATTGTGTGTCTAGTTCACTGGCATAGTCTAACAGTATATATATAGAACTTCCAGCACTATTCATCAGTGCGGAGCGTTGATGGGCCACACGACGGGGTTCCTGAGCTCTCGCGGCCCCTGGGATGCCAGGGCAGCAGCTCATCCAGCGAGGAGAGACAGGACGAGGCTTCATCCAGATCGGCATCTGCGTCGACGGATGATTCGACGGTTGCAACCAGAGAAGGGGAGACATGCCAGAACCCCACTGCAATCGCAGAGGCGTTCCCTGACATCGACGACGACACTCTCAGGTGCGCACTGCGACGGTTTGCAGCCGACCTCGAGGGAGAATCAAGCGTAGACCTCGACGAGGAGAAGTTCAGGGCCATCCTGCCTGCCATTGAAGCAGACTTCATCCGAACCATGCAGTCACTCCGGGATGGCCCCACGTCTGCCTCTACTACGCACGACTGCTGCTCGTCCTCCCAGCCTCCCTCTCTCGTTGCAGGTGGTAGTGGTAGCAGCACGCTGACAACACCAGCCTCTACCCCTGCGTCCGTTTGTGCACCGGTCTCCGAACCCACCGAAGCTGCTACTCGCTCTGCAGCCACTTCCACTTCCACCACCGCAGCTTCAGTCAGTCCCACGAAGCCGCCTCGCCGACGCCTGATCAGGGGGATCCGTCCAACCGCGCGGACACTGCTACGGGCTTCATCATCCCGATCATCTTCACGCAACAGCACAGCCAGCAAACGATCTGCTGGCCGCAGCGATGACGAAGAAGAAGATGGCCCCGATGATGAGCTTCCCTTGATCCGCCGTCGACGAGGCCGGGACCGCAAGCGCCGAATCCTCCAGGACGTGACTCTCGGTATCTCTAAAGCAGGTACAAGTACACATGATGAAGACTGCAGGATCATCTCTGTCAGGCCGAGAGACGTAGCTGAGGATGATGGTGGCAGTGGCGGAAAGGTGGACGAGCCCGCCTCGTCTGAAACCGCGGAAGGAGAAGAGGAAGAAGCGCCATCTTCGAACGAAAGAGCATCGACCGCTGGCGAAAGCGATAGCGAGTTCGAAGGTGATTAACTTCTTCTTCTTGTGGGTTCGGTCAAGACCTTGTCTCTCTTCCCTTCCCTTCCCTTCTCTTCTTTTTTTTTTTTTTCCCGGTTCTTATTATATTCTCAGCACGGAGTTATCTGGACGGATGAATGCATCTAAGCGGGCTCTTTTTGTTTTTCGGAGGCAATCATGCATTTTTATA